CGACATAGGCACTTGTTGGAAACAGATATACGCCGGATTGCGCGGTATCATGGAGTAGTCAGCGGAGTGTGTGACTTCAGCCGGAACAGCATGGTTGGCGAAACTTGGTCCTTTGTTCAAAATTCAAAAGAACCTGGCTGACCTTCTACCAAAAATGGACCATGGAATGAATGTCCGTGGAGCTCGTGTCATGGAAAAATTTAGTCGTAGGCAACGAAATGGGTGAAAATCAAGCGGTCGGTCAGCCCACCGTGTTCACTTTCAGCTGCGTAAACCTAGAAAAGTGACTCTGTCGGGGTATCATTGGCGAAATTCTGCACTTAGTTACAGTTATTTTTTCGACTGAAAACATCATTCTTCTGCTTCTGATTACTGTTAAACGAAGAAATTCACCCCGATAAACAACGACTCTCAGTCGACTGTTTGAACACTTCCATTTCAGCTGCACAAAAGGGTCTACACAGATTATCCAAGCAATCTTATCTTAGTAACGTCGTGAGTTCAGCGTTGAAAATTAAGCAGCTTTGTCAAAATGCACGTTACTTGTGGATTTTTTGCGCAAGTTTTACCTCGTACCATTATTTCGCCAGGGCGATGCGGAAAGAAGGAACGGCCGCGAGCCAATTGCAATGATGGATCGCCAAAAGGCGCATGAATTACCTCAAATGCAAGTTGGATTCATGCAATCAATCTGTCTGCCATGCTACGAGCTAATTGCAGCCGTAATCCCAGAATCTCAAGAACTCCTTGATCGATGCCGGTAAGCTACAAATGTTTCTGATTTTCCATAGCAAAGTCTAACTTTTCACGTGAAATAAGGTTTTAATGACGAATTTTTCAGTTTTTACAGAAATTTTTATTGACTTTTTGAATTTTTCAGATTTTTCCAAAATCTTTCTCGCCGTTTCTTCGAAAAGTATGTAAATTTATGAAAGACACTTCTTCCAGACAGTGGTTGTGGAGATACGAGGCTCTTCAGCCCTAACCAGCACTCGCCGCCTCTTGCTTGGAATTGTTCCCTTCCCTGACATTCTGACAAAAGGAAAGACTTTCACAGTCTCCCACCACCGAAGATTGTTTGTTGACAAGCTAAACTGCAGGATTTTTTTGCATACTGGTACCGAAACAAATTGCCAAACTGCATTTAAAACTTGTCATTTTAGTATTTCTGCTATTCGCTGAATTTGCAAGTCTTTTTGAACTACTTCTTTTGCAGGTACAATGCCAAAAAATGGCAAGAATTAGCCGATGAGCAGAATACGAAAGAAATCGGCGACGATTAGTCCTGTTCTCTTGATCCAGAACTTTTAGTATCAAGGAGCCTTGCAAAAAGTGATTTGCAGAGGCTGCGACAAATAAAGTAACGGCACATTTTGGAGTTTGAATTAAAACATGCGCACAACTCGATTCAAACCTAATTTCGGAACAAAACTACGTAAAGGAAAGGCCACTTGGGAGTGCACTATAGACTATTAAAATGCCAAGAAACATCGCATGCCAGGATTTTCGCAAGGCAACAGAAAAGGAAGTATAATTTTGTAATTCGGACAAATTTTCGACAAATGGTGTGATTCGCCAGAAGAAACCACAATGTGTGTTGAATAAGGGCAGCGCGGTCTAAAACAATTTATCGTATGTGGGTCTTAAGTCTGACTTGCTAGTAGGCGAAAAAATTTTGCACATTCAGAATTGTGAGCAGTGGAAAGAGCTTTAACCTTGCCGATAATGGTGATCTGATACCATAATAAGGACGTTACCAAAGTCTTCGCCACGAAACACCATTAAAAAAGTGAATGTAGTTTTACAGTTAGAATGGAAATTGCTAAAACTCGCCTTGACTTGGCGTCAGTTGATGCGCGAATCGTGAAAGTTGCTGTTGGTAATGGGAAACGTTACCTCTAGCGCTGGGTAGCGTGGATATAGGTGGGAAGGAGAGTTGTGCTGCGGGTTTCGATCGCGGAGGCACGGGGCAAGTTCGGGCAAGGATAGGCAGATACGAAAACTGGGCTTGGCAACGAAAACTCGGCAAGTATGTATACGTTTGTGGATTAGTGCTCCACAAGCGCTGGATGACGTAGGTTTGGGGGGGAGTAGCTGTTGCGGGTTCGGAGTGCCGTGACTCAGAGTAGGGGGAGGGGCGCGAGGACTGGAATAGGTAACTACTAAACTTTACTTGGCGGCGCAATATGCACTCGTTTGTGGATTTGATGACTGGCCGATATATGAGGGATGTTGGATGGAAAAGAAGTGTGATTTGATGTTGGTTTGGGCCACAAAGACTGTGTCTCGCTAAAATTTTTACGTACTGCTACATGAAACGTAATCGTACGTCAAAACTGAATTTGAAACCTTGGGCGATGAACATGTTCCATGTTTCTTACTACTACTTGTCACGACCATATTATTACTTACGTATAATCATAAACTATCCTTTCAAAATTTCAACCTCCTAATTTTCTAGCGTTTAAGTGATTTTCGCACCAAAACTTTCACATGGTCGTACTTTAGACCTTGACATACCTGGGAAGCGAATCTGAGTTTGAAAGGCCCCTACAGAGGCAGGAAAATATCGTCCTGAAATTTCCAGTTTCCTAGCTCTTCCGACTCCAGAAATAATGATTTTTCCTGCCAAAACTTTACGAGAACATTGGAACTCAGGCGTATGTGAAAGCTGAATTTGGATTTGCAGGGTCCTTCATAGGCTGAGGACACTACCCTAAAATTCCAACTTCTTAGTTTTCGTGGTGCCCAAGACAATAATTTTTCTCGCCAAAACTTTCACGGAGTCGTATGTGGTATCCAGACGTAGAGGAGGACTGAATTTAAACATGTGGGGTTGCACTTGCTCA